ACACCTTTCAGGAGGCGGAAATAATCATATCATTTTAGACAACAATAACTGTCGGTTAAGCAGGACTTACGGGATAACGAAATCACAGCTACGTTTGTGCTTGGATCATACAGCCTAGATGACCTGAGACTGAGGTTAGGCTATTTTGTACAAACTATGAATAATGGTGTGTAGTTCGAACTCTGAATTACACACATACACACACCTGCATAAATATATATTCTGCAAAGGCATGCCATCCATTCTGGCCTAAAGGTGGGTGGAAGAGATTCATTTTCCAGCAGGACAATGATCACAAGCATGAATTGAAGATGTTTCAGGCCGAATTGAGGTCGGCGGAAGAGGAAGGAGTGCTGACTTGCCTGGCTTTCCTTGCCCCACAGTCACTAGACCTTAAACCCATTCAACCTCTTTGGGAACATTTGACAAGGGAAAGGACGAAACATCTTGTCGCTCACAAGATATCGTGTGGGATTCTATAAAAGAGAACAGGCGGTGAGTAAAGCAAAATGTGGTCATAACGAATATTGAGACATTTTGTATGTCAGCAAATGTTGACAAACTTTGCTTGGTATATCTTATTAACCTTAAGTTAGTTGACTTAACTGTTAATGGAATATTGCTTAAAATTTGAATCTTTTTTTTCTGAATGATGAAATAAGCATAGCTCTTGGTGGTGCACTCAAACTTTTGCAACCTACTGTACTTACATCGAAAGTAATATTTATCAGTAATAAGTCTATTCCGATAGTGTGTTGTGACCCAGTGGAAGTGTGGTTGTGAATTGAAGTGATAACTTTGCCACGATACTCACGAGGCGGGTTCGAATCCCGTTGTGGTTTATGATGAGAGACGGTAAGGAGAGGTGAAACATTAAGTTCAAGACAGTCGGAATAGGAGACAAGGTCAAGCAAAATCTACTGGCCTCGTGAGACCAAGTCATCTGATCATTTTAAAATCACCTTCACTGTCCTAGACTTGCTTTTATTACTTGATAAATATTAATAGTTATTAGTTGCAGTTATAGTTGTTATAGTTACTAATGGATAAATGCTAATTCAATGATTAACTTACGTCAGTGCAGGAGACCGAAAGGAAGGAGGGAGAGGCTTGCTTCAGACTGAGGGCTGAGGAAGAGGGTTGAAGGGTGAGGCTGGAGAGGAGGAGGGTTTGGCTCGGTCGGCAGAAAAGAAGGATGTCAAGAGGAAGGCATATGCTACGATATTGCTCAACGTGAATGGAGAAATCGGGCCTAATGTAGGCTGATTCGAGTGCCCTGCGAGGAGTGCGGGATTGGGTTTGGATCGAGTGAAATAGGGCGGCCGGTCGACTTGAAAGCATCGCACTGACGAATTAGAAAAAAAGTATAACAGAAAAAGTAAACAAATATTTTCCATGTAGACATGAAAAGCAAGTTGTTGTGGCTTCTATTTTGGTCGCAGTCTCGTTCCAATGTATAGTAGTTGTTTGACCTTTCTTTTCGCAACCTGGTCGGAGTCCAGAGTCGGACGAGTTGTAGCTCATTGAAGATGCCATTGAAACGTTTGGGAATCAAGCAAGTACACGGTCCAACTCTGGAAATTATCATGCATACTATAGACTCTGGACAGGGTGCCAATATGACCAAGTCTTGAAGAAAAGGTCAAGCAACTAGAATATATTTTTAAGTTTGTGAGTAGGTTTTCGAGACTACCGATAGATCTGATAAAAGTGCTGTATTCAGTCGATTTCGTTTAAGATGACGAACGACTGGTCAACGGAAACATAAGGATCACTCAAATGATTGTGGGAAAAATAAAATACCAGTCCTTCATCATGGTGAACGAAAAAGGTAGAATATAGCTTTTATATACAAATAAATTGGCTTAATTGAACTCCACGTAATGCACAAAGTTAGAATTATCTGGACGCGTGTACCACATAATGCGTCCTTTCGTTATAGACAAGTCTTCGTCTGGCGATTGTAGCGTTTAGGTACCAAAGCAGGGTGATCCGGAAGGGAGATTCCGACGCACTACAGACGATGCTCTTGCAGAGCATATTTCGAGACGATCATGAAATCTCGAATAACGTGATGTAGGGCTAATAGCTGAATTGTCAGCAAATAAATGCAAAACAACAGCCCACGAATTGTCTTAACTTGCGAGAGGTTTTCTCGTACCGACTTGATTGCTGTTCATCCCTTCACTGGGGTCTCATCATAGGCGCCAACAGAATCCGATGCCAGGTTGTGAGCTCCGAAACAGCAAGGATACCACTTCACCAGACAGCCACGGGTGTCAGTGGGTCACAGAGATGATGTGACTTTCAATGCACGCCAGGTCTCTGCCTAGTCACATTGTCGAAATTTAGCATCTTTTTTCGTTTAAAGTAGCTTTTTAAGACTACCATAGACATCTCAAATAGATTTTTTATGCGAAATCTACTAATAGTCTCGTGATGTACATATGTGGGTAGCGTGGTCAATTGTGATGGAGAATTCTAGTCCGTCTATCGACAGCAAACCCACGATAAATGTGGATTAGAAGAGACCTGGCATGCCTCGGAGTCGGCTCTGCCATCATCCATGGCTGTGTGACGAAGAGTTATTGGCAGTTTCGAAATTCTACTCATACGAAAAATGAGTAATGTAGTAGATTTTTATAGA